TGTTTCCCCAGCATGTCTGGAATGAAGTATTTGGACTGGCTCTTATGTACCTACACTATTTACTCAGTTCGTTGACCAATCGTCCTTGCTAGTAGGGTTCAGAGTAGTTGAGTAATTGTTTCTGGCCATATACCCGTGGGTTTTCGGAGTACTAACTCTCGTCTCGCTGATTTGAAAGGGAGCACGTGAGTTAGGAGTATGAGAGGATTGTCTGTTGTTACTCTCTACCTAGCATATATTTTACTGTGGCCTTAGGTTAAGAGCCACCACGTGTCTCTCTAATGGGACAGTCTTGACAGATGGGCAAATCCGTTTTCGTAAGTCCACACATTGGGATAAGAGACTTAACATTTGTGCTTTGACATTATGTTCTTAACTTCCGTTGGATTATCGTAATTTCTTTGGTATGAACAACATTACGTATCTTTTGGACTTTTATTAAAGGGAATAAAGTCATTTGAGTAATATAACTTGAGTTAATATTTTAATTTAATCGAATTCTCAACTGGAGAAAGTCTTTTATTTTACAAACATCCGTTAAATAATATTTTATAAAAAATCTTTTAGGCAAATAGTGGATTCTTTTTTTTGAATTAATGATATTAATTTAATTAGAAAAATTCATTTCATTAGAAAAGTATTTATTTTTTTTTCTTCAAGAAAGTAGAATTGTCTAGTTGTGTTCAGACCTTTCTCATCTATCTTTAAGTCACTTGAATCTATTTAAATCAATTACAGTTTTAAATAAAAAAAGTAAAATGAAAAGAAAAAAACGAAACTTTAGTGAAGTTAGATAATACTAGCAGAGAATTTTTTCTTTGTCAAGTCCTCTATCTTACGTTGGAGCAATCTCTAGAGAATTTTGGACAGGTGACTTGGAATCACGCCATTTACATTTTATGTATTATTCGAATGTCAGATGACACGTTATCACGTACAACATTATGTCAGTAAACAATTTAACTTAACAATTTTTTCAACATTTTTGATGTTTACCTTTCGAAGGAAAGCCTTGAAAAGAGCTTTTTCGTGTAGTAAAAAATCTTTCTATACATTTAACACACGGTTAATGCTAACCATTTGAGAGAATAAACGCCAGATTGTACTTCTATTAGGATCAGGAAAATACATTACCACTTCATTGGTACAAATCATGAGAATCTAAAGGAAGTTTAAATGACTCATTCATTTTTAAAAGATCGTTTTTCTCTTTAATGCCGCTAAATCTCTGCATTTAATTTTCCAAACGTTTTTTCTGACATTTGTGAAATACAATGTAGACATTATTGCACCAATGTGCATAATTTTATTATAAAAATTTATATTCTTTATTTTTAATTATTCAGTACATTCTAGGTTCTTTTTTTTTATTTCCTTGTTTTTTTTCCTTTCTATTATTTCTCCATGTGGATATGATACTACATTTTCTCTAACATATTGAAACAGTTGTATGTAGAATTATTCCTCGTCCGTAATTACCCCACTTTTTTCTACTCGTTATTGGATTTATCTCTGTTCAAGCAATATATTTTAATACAAAAATGACTGCTTCATATTCATTAGTAATTCACGCTCTCACTGTATAAAATTCTTGTTAAGCAGAGAATGAAAATAATTGATAACTGGAGATAGACAATGTTTTATTCTGTATAAAATATTGATAAAGGCTTCAAACTTAAAGACAAGTTAATTGTATGCTCTTAGATAGAATTATTTTATGCTGAATAATTATAGTAAAAGTAGTAATTATTGTTAACTCGTCAAGAATATTTGAAATAATTAATGTTACTAATTTCTAAAATATTTTCTACATTAAATATTATTAAAACTTACTCCAAAAATTCTTCCTATAATTAATATGAGAAATTTGTAACCTTATTTTTATAGTTAAGAATAAAAGAAAGTTAATTACTCTCTTACTAATTATCATGTAAAAATACTTCTCAATTCTGCTAATTACTATATTTGATTTCAAAAAAGAAAAAAGAAATGAATAAAGTATATCAAGTATTAAAAGTACTCGTTGGTACAATAAAATTAAAAGAAATAATCTCTTCTGTGCCTGCCAAAAAAATGTCTCGTTTTAATTAATTTCTTTTTCCAGTGTCATGAAAGTATTTTATCATATAAAAGGCCTTTCAATTCCAGCATGTCAGGAATACCTTAAAAATGGCAGTATTTTAGGGCACAATGCAATATTGATGTGCTGAAAAGACCAACAAACATCCATAAAATGATCACAACTTCATCAATTAGTTAAACTATTTAGAAGAAAAATAAGTATAATATTGAAATTTTTCATTTTGCTAAAATGATATTTGAACTCAAACATTTATGCTCCATAAATTGTTCGAACACTAAGAGATTAACTGATGACACAGTTAGGAAGTTAAAGTTCTTTAAGAGTTAGCTGCAAGCACCGTCGATAAACGCCCCAGGTGTTCCCTCACTTTGCTTCTCTTGTGGTTATTACATAGTCTTCATAAAGCTACGCAAAGAAACCATCATATATACTAATAGCAGCCGTTACTATCGTGTACCTGTTGTGATATAGGACAAGATTAATGTATAAACGCAGTTTGCATCAGTGTAGCTTATGGAGCATTTATGCAAGTATATGAAAGTGTTCAGACTTTATTACTGCAGTATGCTTGATAGTGTAGCAAATGCTCCTCCTTCCTACACTCCTTCTCTGCTTCTGATGCTTGAAATCCAGCTATTGAACGATTCAATCAATTATCTGCCTCGTTGTGCAGCACAGAAGTTATTCTTGCATAAACTTCTCACTGATGTACAAGGTTGAATCGTTAATGACTTTTTTTAATCATCAAAAAAAAATCCTCTTGACATTTACATGGGTTTTATCGTGACGTAAATATTGATTGGATCACTCCAATGATTTTAAAGGGTAAAGAGATTTTTTTATTGTCGGAGCTCAGTATAAAATTGCATCTAATAGGATTTCAGCTTTAAAAAATATTGGAGTTCACGAAAGGTTTATCAAGAGAGAAAAGAATTTTAAGAAGTCATTTATTGAAGAAAAGAAAGTAGATTGGATTATTATATCTAATGAAAAGATTCAAGATTGAAGACTATAATGTATTTATTTACTTTTTATTTTGTCTTACTTCCTTTTCGATTAAATTATTTTTGAAATTTCTTTTTTAATTCCAATTGATGAACTCACGTTAGTTTTTGTAAAAGATAGAAAAGTAAAACAAGCAAAACAAGCACTTCTCGTTCAACTTTTAACTCCTCTTTCTATTATATCTCTCTCAGGAATCCCCGATGCTTGTTAAATCGTTATACTACCATATAATTGCCTACTACACATTCGATGCTTCCAATTAAATTACAACAAAAATTTGCTCGCTAAGAAAATAACTGTAACATGATTTGAGTACTTAAAAGTACTACAGTGAAAACGTATTAATTTTTTCTCTCTCATTCTTGTTTTTACATTCTTCTTTCACGCTGTGATACATTTTCTGCTACATTGTGTAATAATTTATATCAAACACAGCATCATTGTATACTAATAAAAAAAATTTTTATGCAAATATCAGATTGTTATTTAATATTAAATAAAATCTATTACATTCGTTATCAAAATGAGAATAATAATAATAATTATAAATATTACAATACAACAAATAAATGAATTATTGTAATTTATTTATTGGTTGAAGAGTATCAATTTTCTCTTTTAATTTTATTAGCAAATTTTATTTTTTACATTATTCATATAAAAACATTTTTTTTTCAATAAAACGTCATAACATTAGATGTTATTAATTATAAGTTTTAAAAGGCCATGTAAAAATAATTATGTTCTAATGAGTTTAGAATGAGGATGAGTATAATTAGAGGATTTTTTTCCTTTGTCATTCATTTTTGAAAAAATTGTTAGATTTTTTTAATGAGGTTTTTTTTCAGCGAATGTGAATTAAAAAATCCATCAACGATTCCATGGACAGACTTAAAGCATTTATGAAGTTGTACTTCAATTAGTGCAACTTGAATTATTCAATTAACAATCAAATAATATTGATTTTTTTCTATTCAAAAGAATGTACAGAATTGATTACAATTTCTTCAAAATAACTTTATAATCAATTTACTTGGTATCGTTTCAATAATGAATTCATTTAAAAAATAATTCTTCTAGAATTGAAGCATTAAAAGTTGATTATTATTGGAAGGCATTATTTTAACTTTTTTTCTAGCTTGAAAGAATTAAATTTTCATTATTCTCAGCCAATCACCATAAAAAAGAGTTAATAGATTTTTCATGACATACTTTTTCCTTTATTTTTCCAATAATTAATAGTAAAGGAATTCTGCTGATTTTCAATTTAAAAACATTTATTGATAAATTTTTTAAAATTAAATCCATGTGAATTTTTTTTCACTCCAAAAAACATTGATTCAGCAGCTTATTAAAACTCTGTTGAGCAAACTTGATCAATGACGATAATAAGTCTTTGTTACAATTTTATCGCTAAAAAAAATTCGTGCGTACTGGATTTTAATTGATTTTATAATCAATATTTCTTTCTATATTCTCACGATTCTACAATTTTAATAAACTAAAAGTTTCATCAAACTAACAAAGCACAAATAACAAAAAATAAAAGGGAACAAATAATAAAGCTAATATTCAATTCTATCAAAATCACATGAGTAAATTCCAAAAATGAGTGCGATGAAGACTCATTGGTAGGGAATCTTACAAAGCATTTAAATGCATAGTTGAGAGCTATTAGAATCTTGAGTTTGTGTTGGTTGGCTCACTATCGTAATCTTGATTGGTGAGACTGCGCCCATTGGTTGCCATTCTTTGGCACGAGGATTGAAATAATGTGGCATGTACCACCCTTCTTGGAGACGTCGTGTTTTCGTACCAGAGGAGACGAGAGTAAGAGGAAAAGTGATGAAAATGCGAAGGAACCAAAGACACTAGTAGCGTGTATTGTATTTGTCATTGCTTCGACTGTGACTATCGTGTGTCCATCTTCATCTCTCCTCTGACCCTTGGGCTTCTTAAACTGTACTCTAAACTTAGATTATCATCGATGACACTGTCTCATACGTGATCAGTCTGTACTTCGATTCTTGTGCTCTGTTAATTCTCCTGTTCCCTATTGTCTCTGATTCATTTTAAAAATTTATTTTCTCCTCCCCTTGCAGTTTATTTACTTACGTCATCTTATTTAGTGAACTTGTGAAGTGAAGACTGTATTAAATAAGATTGGATTGTATGCTTTAAACAACAAGAAAACATATATACAAGAATTTGTTTTTTGAAGGAGAAAAAAGAAGTAAGCAGAAGCTGAATCCCAGAAGCAAAGAAAACAGTGACTGTAGACCCTCACGTTTTTCGTGACGCTCGTACGTCGAGTGTCATCAAGCTGGAGCTGGCAAAGAGGAGTTTTGGCCTGCGGGGGTAAGTTTTTTCTTTTTCATCTCTTACATTTTTTTCTATATTTCTTTCTCAATTTTTTTTCATTCATTTTTGAAATGCACACTTTTATGCTTCCAAGTATCTTTTTTACTTCAATTTTTGATTTTTTTTTCCCGACTTTTTGAGATGTTATGTGAGCTTTTTTTATGGTTAATACACAAAAAAAAACTCCGTAGTTAAAGAAAATTTATTGAAGCATTCATGAGGGAATTTCAATTGAGGATTTTGCAGAATAGTCAGATTTTACAAATGCAAATAAACTCGAAAAATGATATGGAAAAATGTTGGAAAACAAAAGAAATAACCTTGTATCAATTTTCCAAACACGTTTGAATGATCGAATGGTAACATGAATATAAAAAAATTGGAGTATTAATGCTATAAAAGCTTCGGACTGTGATGGATTACACTTGTATGACTATTTACATCTGTTGATTATTTTAAATAATAGAAACTATTACAATATCACTTGTAAACAATGCTTTTTACACTTTGATATTTTTTTATTAAATTATCTTTTTACCCATTACTGAAAAACTGTATATTTCTACTTGCATTACTTGAATAAAAAAAAAGTAGTATTTGCTAAAAAGTGCAAAATACTTTCGTCAGCTCATATGCCATTGGAGTTGAAAAAAGTATGAAAATAGAAATCATATCGATTAGCAGTAAGAAAAAGGAATAAAGAATGAGAAAGAAGTGGTGGTCTCGACTTGTTGACCTTTTTGAACTTAACTCAGTATCATTCATGTAATTTTTAACATCATCAATCTTGTTCATTAATTTTCTACCTTCTCCGAAACGTTGAAAATTTAGGTCGGAATATTTAATTATTAATCCCGTCTCGCAATAATAAAGGACTCTACAATACAATGATTGATCTGAAAAATTTCGACGTAAAAATGGAGTTTAGTAGATAAAATTAAATTTGATATTTTTTTTATTATCAATCTCAAACTACTCTCAAGGTCTTTTAGAAGAGTTTCTAGCATGACTTTTCATCTAAAGATATCCACCAAGTGGAAGCGTAAAGCAATTCGTTCGGACCGCAAGTGCTCGACCCACCACTTCCATTTCCTTTTTATTTTTTTTTCTTACTCTAGCCTTTCAACTCGTCTTTCTCTCATTCGTTGCCCGTTTATAGAGTCGAAAGAATTGGCGGAGTTGTCTCTCTGGATAGAATCTTTTGCCTTCTCATCATTCCCCATCTTCTTTTCGCCATCTCTCTATTTCTTATACTCATTCTTTTAGTCTCTGAAAATAAATAGGTCGTTGTAAGTGACGCCAAGAATGGTATTTACTATTTTCAACCTCCATGGATCTTTAATCGTTGGCTTTGACAACAGTTTTATTCAGATAAAAAAATTCACCATCCCTGAAATGAGCAAGAAAGCAAAATAAAAATAGAAAAAAAACAACTCCAATGAGAAAAATGTAAAGAAAGGAAATAAGAAAAAGAAGAGAATCCAAAGTTTGTTGGGTTGAATCAAGCTAAGTTGAATTTTGAAGGACTTCTACAGCCCAATTATCTATCGAAACTGTGAGAGAGTTTCTCGTGTCAGTTTTCTACTTTTTTTTTCTCCTTCTCCTCTTTATTCATCTATTCAAATCGTTGATCAGCATCTCTAGTAACTTATTCGTCTTTTAAAATCAATACCCAATTCTTTTTTTAACCAAAAATAATAATAAAAAAAAAAAACAAACATAATCGACTAAAGCACTGTCGATAATATAATAATATAACGTAAATTGTTATCAGCTACTATGTATCTTTGAACAAATCCAATCCACTTCATTTCATTTATGCTGTCTCTCATCCTTTTGTTGAACGGTGGCTTCATCGACTGGCGTACTATTCACCACCAAGGCTTTTCCTGTACGTTTGATAATTAACCGGCTGGAATACATCCCGCTGGATAGTTGACAGGGTTGTGGCTAACCGTTGGACAGGTGAGAAGGGAGAAAAATATAGATAGAAAGGCATAGACAGAGCGGAAGCGAGAAGGAGGTGTAAGCAGAAGGGATGAAAAAGGATAGTCAGGGACGAAAGTGAAACAGAGCGTAACAGAAGTGAACACGGCGTCAAGATAAAGGGACAGAGGGATCGAGAACGTATAGAAGCTTGACGATAGGTAGTAGAAACGTTGTGCGGGTTGAAAAGGGGTTGCTTGATGCTTGGGGTAGGTAGGGAAGTTGCTGGGATGGCTTGCGTGGATGCTGTGCCTGCGATCAATACTCCACGTGATGTCACGCGTCATGTCTCCCTCCCTCTTTTCGCGTTTCTCAACCTCCTTTCTACCTCACTCTACCCCTTTATTCCTCTCCCTCTATGCTACTGACTCTTCTTCTCTAAGTACTCGATAGATTGTCACTACTCTCTTTCTTCCTTGGATACTTTACTTAAGTACCCTGTTCACGCTATAAATAATTTTATTTCTTATATTTTATGCACTTCCAAGTTCAAGATACTACCACCAATTTCTATTTATTATGCTTACCTTTTTAAGATATCTTTCAGGATTTTTAATGTCTTTCTTTTCCGTATTACGATTTTTGTTATCAAATGTTTCGTATTAATAATGTACTACTTTTTTAGCTTTTTCGCTCGATCATAAAACCCCAAACTATTTTTTACTGCAGTTTTATTACTTATATTATTAGTTAATAACGTTTATCGCTTTTTTACCGTGACTTGTCATAACTTTTAATATTATTTTATCTTAATATCAATCACGTTTATTTTTTAATATTTCACTTCTATTAAAATCTCTTTGTAACTCTAATATTTTTTTTGTTTTTGCAATTCTGAGGTAAATATTTTTACTTGAAAATTTTTTTTTTTATTTCATTTTCGTAGCATTTACACATGGTTTTTAATATTTATTTTTTAGTTAAGTCTCTTTTATTGAAACATCATTTCTAAACATTTTGTTTTTTATTTCTCGTGTTGATTCAAGAAAAATATTCTGTATAATTTAAAACCACAAATTATTTTGTGTTTATTAAAAATGTACGTTTTTACTTAAAATTTATATTCCGTTTGATGCATGATGTAAATTTTCAGGATTTACTTTATCCGTGACAATCTCTCTGTTTCTAAATGAAAATTCGTTATTGAGATAAACTACTTATGTATGCATATTTCACAACGCTTTCATCACTCTAGATGTTATTATTCGCTTCATTTATACACTTCTCTATATTGCCATAAAATAAAACCAATATAAAGTAATCGTCACATGTAAATTTCTATGACAGATCTCACATGAATATTTTACTTTTCTCATCAAACTCGAGTGTAACTTTATTTTTCATTGAGGTTTCTATTCTTTTTACTTCATCAATTATCTAACTTTTGACCTTTGTTTTTTGTGAAATTTTTTTTCCTTAAAAAAAAGAAGAAGAAAAAATATATAGAAAGTAACACAAGGGACACTGTTATTAATAGACATGGTTTAGTATTCAACATCCTTCTATTCATGCATTCAAGCTTTAGTCTCGAGAGTTTCTACAGCACCAGAGTTTACACGAGAATCGAAAAACTCTCCCTCACTCACGTATCTCCCGACACAAGTGTTGATTTTTTCATGATATGGACTATCTAGCGAGTTCAAAGGTAGAATTGCAAGGGCAGCGACTCTATTGCAGTCTTTGAGAAAGCCACAACTAAAAGCAATAAACTACATTTTCATATAAATTGAATTTTAATATATTAGAAATTTTAAATATCACATTATTGACTCTTCATTAATGTTTATCCTAAAATATCAATTAACTTAATTAACTCGTTCCACTTGATTGAATTTTATCATCAATTCGAAATACTTTGACAAATGTGTGATATAACTCTACTCTTTTTCATTCACTTTATTTATCTGCTTATCGATAAATAATGTTTATTTATATTTTCTCTTAGGTTGTTACACTAAAATTTAAATAAAAAACAGAATAGAAAAGACTTTGTAATATATTTAGCTGATACGTATTACATTATTAAGTTTTTTGCATCATTATTTTATTTTGGAGCTCAGTTTATAAACAATTTATCAGAATGAATTTCAAATTCGTCGATAATTAATTAAAATGTAAAAGTGCAGTATCTAGAGAGCGTTATTTTACGTAACATTGAATATTTATTTCAACTAAAATACCTTCATGTTTAATTAAAGCCAGAAATTCAACCCATAAAATTCGATTTTAACTAGTTTTTTCACGTTAATTAAATAAATATTCAATTATCAATTTTTTAGACGCATCACTTTGATCAACTATTGTTAAAAGTATAGATAATAAAATAATTTTTGATAATAACTTGTGAACTCTGACCTATTTTCAACGACAAAAACGGTCGTGCATAAATGCGAACACGTAAAATAGACCGAATAGCAATTTAGTTTTCGACACAACATAATTTCATAAAAGAATTTGAGTGAATCTAAGATTAAATTCATTATATATATATATAAACATCATCGCTTTTACTCTTCAATGAAAGCATGTTAAATATTGTTAAAATGACGTTAGTAACAACTCCATCAATGCTACCTAGCGTTCAATATTGCTAGAGTGAGAAGTAGTACATTTCCCTGATGGTATGTTTCGGTGAAAATTGCTCTACATGTTATTATACGTAAATGAATTACTGCATGATTTACAAACGAAAATATATCAAGTTAATAATTTAATGTTAAAATACATTTATTTCTTTCACTGCTAAAAATTATTTCAACCACTGATCCGTACTATTGGTACCGAAAATTATTATTTTTAAAAAGTCAGCAAATTTAAAGTGCTCGAAAGCACTAGTACTTATGAGCAACTATATTGCTAATTAATTTAGAGTATTTTTATATAATCAAGACGATATAAAAATATTTCATGAACAAAAATGAAATTTGTACAAGCAGTCAATACGAAATTTTTCCAAGTTTTCGAGTAGTACAATCTCAGCTCCGAATCCCTAGTGTAATTGAATAGAGTGT